GTCAGCAGTACTTCATGAAGAAATTTGACATGTTCTTAAGCAGTCAGTACAGTTTTTCGCTACAATTTACTCATGCTTTTCCCTCTCTCGTTAAGTGTACATAAGCTCCTACCTAGATTGAATGAAGATCCACTGCATCTAGATACGGAAACCTGTCGAGTGAACTCTTCTTGTATTCCATCCACAACCATTTTTATTACTTGAGCTTGAGTTTGCATGTGCTTGAATTTATTAAGCTCTTTAATCACCTGGCCATCAAGCAGTTTTATTTTCATCGATAGGATTTTATCTATATGTTTTCATATATTTATTCCTGCGCTCATATAGACGTCTGATTAATAATAACGATACTATTACTGTCAAATCAGAAATGAAGAGGTTTAAAGATGTATTTAGAAGGCCATCGATATTTCGAAAAGCGTTTGGTCATAGCTGGCTAGTAATTACAAAGGATATGCAGCACGGCGTACCCACACGTGATCTGGTGCCGATGCGTGAACGAGAGCCTTAATCTAGGATGTGTCCAGTAAAACCAATGAGGCCGGCATCAATGTCAAGGACTTACAGAACTATTTACTTTGGGGACATATTTACCGCTACAATCACGTGACGACTCATTTATATACTTTCCTTAACCTACCAAACGTAGGTTACTGAAAGCTCCTGATAACTCGTTCTTATGCTTTGGTGCATATCCTTGTGAAATCACATTACTTTATTTTCGTTCTTACATTCTCAACAATCAACTCACTGGTCAACACGTGCCTTGTGTCGTATGCTAGTCTATCATTTGGCGCGTGTTCTGATGAAATAAACTAATGAGGCGGCTTCGTATTCCCTTCTGAAAATTATACACCGTTGGGAATGGCAATAATATTCATCAGGTTGATTGACACATAAGGTTTAAGGACAGCTCTGAATATATATCTCGCAACATAGTAACCGATCAAGATTTCTCCCTCAGACGGAGAATGGGTCTTTCCACCCATTTGATAGCACCTTAGATAATAATGAGTATTGAAATAAGTTGCTACTAGGTGAAGAAGTGTGGTTTTTGTACTTGATGATGATTCGTTTGTATTTGACTGGGAGTGTATTACCAATCCCAAACAGCACATTCAGTTGTGCTTAGTTAGAACCAGAAGGTTCACTGCATTGGTTTCCTTTAAAAATTGGCTTGATATGCGTTAGCTCACATTTGTCTGGGACCGTGCCCAGGCTTAGGAAATGCGAGAGAATCACAGCAAGCCGTGTTGCAAAGACTGGAGCTGCTTCACTTAGCATTAGATAATGAACCATTTCCTGGCTAGAAATGTCCTTGTTTAGAAACTACAGTTTTTGATACCTAAATCCGGAACTTAGATTTACCTCTGGGACAAGCTTTGGGTTACAGGTAAAGCTCTCATTAAGGCAAGTTGTGTGAAACGATTGAAATTTTCAGGAATACCGTCTTGTCAGGAGCTCTGAAGCATAATGGTCGTTGCTGGGTCGGCTTTAAGATCTAACAACTGTGGAACTCTGGATTTAGTCCCTTGGCGAGACTGCATATGACAGAATAAGCTTTTCTATTGAGAGACAAATTTATCGTTCGTTTGTATTCCGCCTAATGGTATTCAAATAGTACAACTCCTTTCGACTGTAAGTTGCTTGTACTTTTTGAGGGACGTTTGCAAAACAGACTAATTTGTGGCATGTAAGGTAGTGAGAATTAAGAGATCTTAAGGAGCGTCGATCATAACACTTGCAGTGAATTATTTTTTAAAGGTGCAAGTCTAACGCTAACGATTAGTTGGAAGTCTTAGCTCAGTTGATCCAGAAAAACGGAAAGCTCTGAAGGCGTGAAAACTTTGTACCTGGTAGAGCCAGGGTTTAGATGTTATTAACTAGTTTAGAGAACCAATCTAAGCGCTGCGGTGCTTTTTTGCATCGAGTTTCTGAGTTCATGTCTTTAAAAAGTTGAGGTTGAAGAAACAAGACACAATATAGCTGTAAACTACATCTTACATGTATCCAGAGAACTTGACCTTAGAATGAATGATGCCAGCCAATATAAGGTATGGGTATGTCCGAGACGAATAGAATTTGATAATTCCTCCAGAGTATTATCGTCGTAGCCGATGTCAGCTGTTAGCTTCCTGTAGATGACACTAACTAGACACCTAAGGATTTTATAATGTCTCACTGAGCATAATACAGGTAATCGAAAATGGTCAACTCTTGAGTATACACTTGATGTGCCATCAAGCAGGACCATAGGTAGGGGGCTGTTCCGCACTCCATTCCTGTTTGTCTGTCGTCGCAAAAGAAACCTAGATTGATTATGGCCAACTTCTGGACTATGATCTGATATGCTGATGCTTCCGATATTCCTATCAGATAATTATTATCAGCGTTGCTCACTTCACACAACTCATCCATTTTTCTCACTGAACTCGCAGCGTTTGAATATAAATCAATGATCCTTTTGATTTGAGAAGTATGAATGCTCTTGTCCAGCATAATTGAATAAAGATTATGTGTATGAATAGGTAACCTACATACGTAGGGCTCTCAAAGTTGGTGGTCTTTGTCTTTGAATGCAAGTGGATTCCAACTCGTACCCTAGGTCACTTGACACATATGCCTCAAGAGTAGCAGCCGATGTTTAAAGAGAAGGTAAGATTATCTTAATTGCTCAATGTTTGAGATCTCCCTCTTGTCTGACCGACTATTTACTGGGTCAATATATTCCTAAGCTTAAAGGACAGTTGTAGGAACTTCTGCCCTGGAATAAGATGGACTGTATTATCAGGGTCTGTGTCTTCTGGGACACTTTTCACAATGATACTTCTTTCGCTAAATAAAGGTTCATTGGACTTCCTTGGTATGTGTCCTGATGATGCTGCAATCCGAAAACGGTACATTAGGCGGCCTATTAGCAACCCCTTCAGAATTCAACAAGTGACAGACAAGTAGAACATCCTTCATGTTAGTGGTGCAAGTGAACGCTTCACGAATTCTCGGATGATTTTGTTATTTGGTTCCGTTCATCCAGGTCAGCCATATAACCGGAAGTAGTCTAACTTCGGAATTTCTGAGTTTCCTGTCTACATCTTCCTGAAGCATCCTGTTGTTTTTGTCTTGAAAATTGAGAGGAAGATCATAGCTGTCTTTAAGGCACGTAACTGTTGAGAAATTGTCGCAAAACGTGGTTGGTTTTCAAGAATCTGGGGAAAATTATGGTCCATTTTATTTGACAGTCAGATTAAGGCCCAGATTCCCGTGTTTTTCGTGGACTGGTCAGAGATCTGAGGCGCTGAGCATTTCTGAAGATGAACTTCTATTCTTTATATTCATATTGATGGGTGTACAATGTCATACAATAGAATTTTTGAGTCCCACAGTTGCAACAGGAGAGGCTAGGGCACACAAGTTTGCAGAGAAGGCCTAACACCACCGATGTTATGATGGTGCTGAGTTTTATCTTATCTTCAATGATGTCAGTGCTTATTCCACTAATACTACTGTCATTGAAAACCTTTGATGATGTCACAGGTATTCAGTGTTTGACAACGCTTCTACCAGTAACACCTTCTAATATATTTCGTTCCCGCCCAGAGAAATCAAAAGACAGAGTCGAGGAGATCGGAAGAGTATATTTGGCGATGACCAATATATCGGAATTCTCTGATCTAATCTGGCTAGCGATTGCGGTTGATGTTGAGCACGGCGTTACCACACGTGATCTGGTGCGGATGACTGACCGAGCGCCTTCAGCTAGGTGAGTCCACTAAAACATATGGTCAGCATCCAATGTCGAAAACTTAGTGCTATTTATTTTGGGGATTTATTTACCGCTACACCTTCTTCTTTGCCTTACTGTGTGCTGCTTAGTGCTCATTCGTTTCGGGACTAGTTTATTTTGCGCTGTTGGAAAGCTTTCTGTAAACATATCAGGAGACTGATGATACTTCCCAGAATATGCTTACCATCTTTTAGCATTTTCAGCAAACAATCGTGACGGTGATATGGAAGTCAAGCTGCTTACGTATGCTCTTTATGGTGAAATATAAGTTGCCAACCAAGCGTGAACAAAAGTTCACACCCGTGAGAAAATGTGGTATGTTCAAAACGAATGAAAAGAATGCAAAAAGAAGGATATGTAGGATTAAGTTTTATTTCGATATTATTACGTATATCTTTGTAACTATTATAATAGACACTATCCCGAAAATGAAGACTTGTCATGATGCGACTGCCTAATCAATGAGATCTTGCGTCGAAGTCACATCATTGTCTATTTTGACTCACTTTGTCGTGAAAATCAGCAATCGAATGTTTAGCGCTCCATCTAATAGCCAAGGTCATCGTGAGTTACTTTCTGGCTCCGGCTGAGGTCTTTTGTTATTTTAATTGATGGTTTATGCAAGTTTTCGTGATATGTTTTTCATTAGGTGCAAATCACAAAATTGTCACTGAGCTACACTCATGAATTTTTTGATAAATCTTAAGCACACTTCCTGAGTTTTTGACAATATTTTGTTTGTCACCAGTCCATCCACTTAGCACGACTTGTTCCATCCAGTATGCCCTGATTGGGTCATCAAAATAGGAGTAGCAGATCACGTCAGAGTAGCAGATATAATATGGTAATAACATCAAATTTACCAAGTAATGGAATTATCTCAGGTCATTTATCATATTTATACTTTTTCTCGGTATTTCTCATGAACACACGTTTATCACCATTAAGTGACTTAAGAAATGTCTTACCAAGTACATGAAACATTTTATTTTCAGCCCTCAGATGACGAACAATGGTGTATGTGGAAAACCATTTTCTCATAAACACAAACTTAATTGCTTACAGTTGTATAAATACGAACCAGGATCAGTAAATGAAGATATATAACACCCTGGATTGCTGTTGTCTGTCAATTCAGCCTACTTAATTCGCGTTGTTTGGTAGTAGCTGTAACCAACTTGTTCTTTTTGCTGGATCTACATGTTTATTTCTAATTATGATCCCCCCTTTTTTTCTCGATAATTATTTCGGACATCTTTTGTTTATTTGTCTTAAAAGCATTGGTTTTATTGGTGATTGGGTAGACCGATTTGTTTTTGATGCTGTAACGTCCATGAAGAATGTAGCACTCACCAGCATTATCTTAGTTTATCATGCTATAACTTGTGACGTTTTCGCGAATAATTGTAAGTCTACACTCAGTACATCAAGACAGTTGTAGATGTTCTGCTTTCTAGTTTCGATAAGCTGTGCAAGGAACGGAATGACAAAGGATTTGTCGCTAATTATGTAGTGGATGATATTACAATCCGTGAACAGTTAGTGTTATCGTGGCCTGGGGATTTAAATACGTCTTCGTTTTATAATCCTCCAAGGAATCCGAAATTTGCATTGTGTCCTGGATTAGTCATTCATCCTTCTGGTCGTTTTGTAAAAAGATCATTTCCAGAAGGTCTAGTAAGTACTGATCTTTGTAATCAAATTACAATAATATTTTCTGTGAAACAAAATTAAAACTTGCTAAAAAAAGTTCAATTTAACAAGTAAAGCTCTCACTTGATAGTCCTGTAATCTACTTACAATGCTACAAATCTTCTTTTGGGAGCAGAAAAGAATCTTTTTCGCACCTTGTTTAACTACCCAAAGTTTTTCAGACTGGTTTTTCGTTGCTATGTTATTAAAAGCTAAAGCTATAGAATCAATTTGCACGTCGCTTAGTTAGAATGTGATGATTGAAATGAGCCAATGTATTTTCTTCCATTGCCCCCTGAAGGCTGGTCGCTGATAAAATCTTGGTCCAAATAACATTGACTCTAAGCTATTTTGTATTATTTATAATACCTATAAAATGCTTATTCAAGAAGTATGTGTGCAACTTGTTGCTGTCGTGTACTTTTGATATGTAAATTCATGCCTTAAAGGGATACACAATTCAAGTGTTTAGTCTTGTGCATCTACGAAGTAGTAGTCAAGTATGGTAAGACTACTGAGAACTTAATGTTAGCATTATATAATTTCAGAAAAAGTAGTAGATTCTTTGATATGAACTTTCTTTGAGCGAGTGAGTGAACTGGCATATTTCATTCTTTGTCTTTCTCAAGACTTGGCAGTGACTTCCTATGCCCTTGCAGGTGTAAATATGACGATGCATTTGTAAGCTTAACGAGGTCATGTAGATGAAGTTTCAGTTGGCGGTCGTCTGTGCTGTCCAAATAACTGGTACTATAAGAGCACATAAAGGTAGAAATATTCGGAGTTGTGGTTTTGAACGTAGTTTCAGGAGACCGTCGATAGAATTTTGTATGATTGGATCATTAGTATTGATTGCAAGAGCAGAAAGTTGGGATCAGGGAAGGAGCGTTTACAATAAGGATAGAAATGTTAGGAAGCAATAAATAGATTTTGTTCTGTTCAATTCTTCCATGTCTAAGTTGTTTTATATTAATAAATTCTTATCGCGATGTGTAACATAAATATCAATCAAAGTAGTGCGTATGCTTATTTTACATTTCTTTTTCGTGAATAAATAGGCTCTCTTTTGGCTATTAAGAGCTAATATCCACTTTACTTGTCCTAAAAATGCCCATTTGTCTGAATCCTTTTATCTTCAATTGGAACAATGGATTGAATCGTTGGAGTGGAACACAAAACACCGGCGACAAGATGCCTTAAAGGATCAAGATGGTGATAATATAGATTCAACTAGTATCGGAGAAGCAGTGAGTTTAATTTTGAGACGCTAATCTCCTTATTATGTAGTCGATTACCATTGGAGTGTTGCTTACATTTGAATACAGAAAGTGTTTTAAACAATAATCGTGGAGTAGATAAAATATAGCTGACTATGGTATCTGCGATGCAGGTCGTTTCATCCTATTTGTGACTTGTTAGCTGCGTTTACTCGCTTTGTAGAGTTAATATTCACTATAGAGTTCGAACCCAGTACCTTTCACTTCAAACGACAACGCGTTATCCACTTAGCTATTAAGTTCAGTTAGGCACTCACTTGTGTAATAAGTATGAATTTTCATGTAGTTTTTAGTGGTTTGGATTATCACAACCAGTGATAACCAGGGTATGTAATTTGAAGACATATCATTCGCAAATCTATATAATATTTTAAAAACGATAGCCTATTGCCATTAGTTTAATTAAAACAAACTACTTATTCGGTTGTTTGAATCTATTGAAATTTTACAGACAGACATGTTCAATAGCCTTCAGTGAAGTTATCACATAACCATTTATCTTTTCAGTTTTCTGTTAGTTAATTGTTCAGTTTTTTAATGTGTGAATTCTTCTAATAAGCAGTGGTTTAGTTGATAAAACTGATTTAAAGTCCCATCAAGGTACATTATCATATATCATTGGTACTTTAGAACACTGTGAAAGATTTAATCATGTCAATGAAGGTCAAGATGTAAAAACCACTCTAAAATTAGGTGATTTCCCTTAAACTGTTTCTTACTTCAAAAAAGCCAAATTATGTCTTAATAATGCCAGTTTAATTGATTTTCGCTCCTTAAATTATGTCTACATAATGCTATTTATACTATTGTATAAAAATAATAAATAAGTATATGGTTATTACGCTGTATTAATATTTTGTGAGAAACTTATAAACCTGGTTGGATATATATCACAGAATGTCTTCGTAAAATATGAAAACCATACATTAAATACATCATTTGTACATCGTCCATCAGTTGTCTTTTACATACTTCATAGTTCTTCCAATTCTGTTTTTACTCCAATTGCTATCTGTTCCCTTTCTTGTTCTTCTCAATCTAGCCTTCTTTTGGCAGGCTTTCCACTTCAGACTGCTGCTACATACTACTTATATCTGTCAGCATAAGTGGCATGAATCACAATATTACGCGGTTGCCGAAATTGAAGTTAGTAGAGTGGTGTTCGAACCTGTGCCTTTAAAGCTAAAAGCCGACAGCTTAACTGCTAGGCTATCGCTTCACAAAAGGGCTAGTTCAGGATGGAACTATTAAGTGTACACCTTTGTATATATCTCAGTATTTTGCAAACTTAACGAGAATACCTTTCCATTCAAATATGCTTGCTACAAACTGTTGTATTTGAATATTCAATGCATGAGAATGATGGTACGATCATCTTATGCTGATGTTCGTTAGAGTGATCTGCTTAGCCGTCAGGAATATTTCTACTTATGTCCTACTTATCGAATGTTTTCAGCCGTATATTATAGTTTCTGTCGTTTATCCAGAAGTCACACTACAGTATAATAATATTAACAAGTGAAATACTTAACCTCTTTGATTTATAGACTATTTGTGTTGTTTCTTTGCTGTCCCTTAAAAATAGCCTGATGAAATCTTACTGATCAACTGCTCGAGTTCTTACATTGGTCAGTCTAACCATTGGAGTTTATCTGGATATTTACGAAGGATTCGCATTACTTGGAAGCTGAGAAATGAAACAGAAGTTACAGATCTTACGACAATTACAAATACATCACTGTCGAGTACTTCTTCCTCTTCTGTTATATTTTCGAATACAAGTTTCAGTGACTCTTCATTGTCATCAACATCCCACATAAACAACCTGAATAATCAACATTTTCTTTCCAGATCAGGCATTAAATTTCTTGTGCGTATCTCTTCACATATGCTGTTTGTAGGAAATTTCTCTATGGAACGCCGTATGTTACTTGATATTTTTCGGTTTTAAAATATGTTTTAATCAACCGTTTTTTTTCATTTTGAGTTACATTTAGTAGACATCACATCAAAACCCCTCAGGTAGACTGATGTTGTTTCTGCATAATTCATATAAGTGAATATATACAATCTGATATAATTTTAATACAGTTATTTTCTTGTTAACTATTAGATTTATACCTAATCCCCCATTATCGAACAGTAAATTTCTTAAAAGGTGGATTAAAACGTAGACGAAATAAAAATCTTAGACATAGTACTCTCTTTCTTTCTCCCTCTTCATGATGTATGTACGATATAGGTACAAGTCAGCAAAGGTAGCTGTGATGACCTTACCATTCTGAAATCGCCTTTCTTTCATCGAATGAGGAAAAGTTATGATTTAGTAAAAAAACATATTTCGCTAAAGAAATTATGAAATATGTTAGTGGTTTCAAGAAGTATATTGATTCCCCAACGGTTAGATCAATATTTCAAAATAGTTTTCATTAAAATATCGCTAAGTAACGTCATTTGTATGAATGCGAGTATATCCATGCTAAATGGTTTTTTTCCAAATCCTACCAATAAATGGTTTTCAGTAAAAGGTTGTGGAGATTGTTGAATTTCAGTGAAATCACGAACCGATCTAAGTTAGACCACCATTAAAATCTTTGAAGTACTGAACGGCCGTTTCTTCGTGGTATGGAACTCCTCAGCAGTGCACATCCACTAACCCACTGTGGTAATCAAACCCAACACCCTTGATCTCGCGCGCAAATGCTTAACTTTTAGACCATTGAGCCGTTATTCAACATTATCATTGTCTAACTTCAACTAATAAATAGTTTTATAGGAATTTTTATCATCGTTCAGTAAATTTACTGATGAAGTTATAAAAAGTGATATGTATAAGTCATGCATATTTTACACAGATCAATTCCCACCAATTTGTTTCCCAGTTAATGAATCACTAATCAAGTGACTTGTTTAAGAAGTTTACTTACCATAAACAAAGTAGAGTACAATAAAGAAAAACCCATTGATTTACATGTTATATACAGTCTATATAGAAGGATATAGGCATACAACATATTACACACTGTCATTCTCATTTTTTTATGTAGAAAAGAAAGGATTCTTTTTCTATGTAATGTAAATAAATACAAAAGTTATGGTATATGGACGAGTCAATATACCATTAAGAATGAAATATTTGATTTTTTCTTTAATATTCAAATGTTACTTATAGCAAGGAGTAGAAATACCTTTTTATATACTGTCTGAAATAAGCAAATATGGATAGTGGCTAGCAGTGAAATCGAGGATGCGCGTTTTGTCTTATTTGGGACTCGTCAGCTGGATGTACATACATCTCAGAATTGATGTTCACTCTGGGACTCGGTTCAACGTTACTGGTTCCTGATAGCCACTTGCTTATGCAATGGGGTGAAGTTTACATTCACTTGGTATTGTTTATTATTATTATCTTTACTTATAATGCTTGTGAATTAAGGCTATATCGAGGCAATACATATAGCAATAAGAGACTGATCAACTGCAGTCCTAAACGTCAATGGGAAGATTCAAGTAAACAATACCAAGTGAATTTCCTAGTATACACCCTTTTAAACTTTTGTACAACACCATAAAAGTCGAGTTAAGATCAATCCTATGGCCTGTTTCAAGTATGTGTTTGGCAATAGAGGATGATGGATGTTTATCCTCTACTCTTATTGGGTCATTTGATTCTATTTGTCTGTGCAACCATTTAGGTACATGTTCATACACCCTAATTTTGTGATCGCATTTACTCCTCTCTATTTATATATGGCCACACACACATTTAAATAGGTAAATACAGTGAGATGTGACGAGATCGTTTTCATGTCTCTTAGGTGTTCGATGAAGTATAGACCTTGTTCTGTACTGTCTGAAATGTTTCAAATGATGTCGAAAAATTATTTTTTGTCATCATACAGTAAAAATTGTTATCTTAAATGTGTTAAATACTCAATTCTTTCTCAGTAGGTTGTATATATCAGACAAATCGATACTATTTATTAATTATATTTATAAATTCTTAATCCTGAAACTAATTTTAACTTAGCGATACACTACATTTTATGGATGAACTAACCGATTAGCATCTCTGACATTTTTTTGCGCGAAATTTGTTAATCCATATGGTTACAAAGCATCTTTACATTATAAGTGATGTTGATTTGTGATGAAAACTTTAACCTTAAACCCCTAATCCTTACTTTAAATCCTTTGTCCTAACTAGAAACAATGTAGGGACTTAGTATTATGTTATTTTTCTTTACATGCTCTAAGGTCATTGTTATATCCGAGTAGAGATTAAATTACAGGTAATCTCCGAGGCCTATTCATGGACTAATATTCTATAATTATTCTTATTGTATAACCACTCAACAATTACACTATGTATATTTATATTCCTTTTATGATAAGCTTTATTTTGACCTATAACTTATTATTGTACGATTTACGGTTCTTAAGTTATGTTCAGTTTATTAACTACTGCCTCCCACACTCACAGCCACTTTTTGGGCTTATTTGTGTACAAATATTATTTCCTATTTTATGGTACGTTGCGGTCTGTGTGATTGATATATAAACCAAGTATGCCTGAAATAAACGATCTGCTCTGATTCGGAAGCTGGTATCTTGTTCTGGACTCAAGTGGAAGGGCTCGTAGGTACATAGGACCAATAAGGACGCTAGACTGCCCACACCGGTTGAACGTCATTGGTTGGCCTAGTGTAAAGATCCGTATAAGTCGTATCCGGATTGGTAGATAAGTCGTGTGATCGAAAAGTCAGACATCCAAGGTCATAACAGTCATGTTTGCAACAATATATAAACAATGGAGCAGTAGCTTACTGGTTAAGGTGTTCGACTTTCAAACACTAAGTCATAGGTTCGAAAATCATTCCATCTACTTCGGTTTGGACAGCTGCGCTGCAGTATCCCACTTAATATATGGCTCATATTCAAGTACCTGGAGAATAAGTTAATTTGACTAATATGATATAAACAGGTTTGTCCTACTACAGTTTTGAATATAAAACTTATGAAAGTTCCGTTTATAATAGTGCAGAATCATACCGCCTAACCAAGCAGAATAAAGAAGGCGACTTCAAGGAAATGGGAGATTTATTGGTGTAGAGGGACCTTTATCTAACTATATGAAACTCAGGATATTGACCATGAGCTGAGAATTTCGGCAAAAAAACAAGATGGATTGCTAACACCAGCACTTAAGTATGAATGCGGTAATGAAATGACGGTGCATGAATGTAGAAAACATAAAATGGTGTGATCTTTCACTGCAATGTTCGCTGAGGTTAAAATTATTACTTAGTGTTGGAATCACAGTAAAACTTTGTGTCAAAGGTCAGGATTATGATTGAATTAAGACTATGGTTAAAATTATGTTAATAGTTCGGAATAGGGGTTAAGACTGAGGCTAGTTTTATAAAATTAAGTCTAGATCCTAATCTTTAATCGTAACTCTAATCGTATACTCTAGCAGTTCAGAATCAATAACAAGCTAAGTTAATCAGTCATGTTCAAAGAATATCCTTTCTGTAAATTCTTTGACTTCGTATTGTAACTCGTTTCTGATTGGCTGGGATGAGTGATTTTCACAAGGTCATTCGGTAGTATAGTTTAACAACTACAATCCCATCTCCCCTTGATTCACGTACGAATTATTTGGATTGAAGTGTAGTAGTGTATAAGTCATCTGATCTTTCTAGTTCTGGTAGATCCCATTTCTTATTTAGGAGATCTTCCTCACGTTTTTTAAATTTGGAACCACACTTTAGATTATCTATCCCAAATCATAACAGTTACAATCATTCACAATCATGTATTTCAATCGTAAATTTTAGAGAAAGCATTATGTGAATTTTTCTCTGGATTTTGGTGTCTTCAATCTTTATCTACTTCTAATACTACGTCAACTAATCATCATCACCAGGACAACCAAAGTAGTCTTATATCATCGTCTACGTCAATGTCGTCCTCACCACTAACACCATTACCGAATCAATCTAATATCTTATCAAGTAAACATCCTATTTGTGTTCAAGCTACAATGCTGTGTGATAGCCTTCCAGATTGTGATTTGAGAGTGCCTATGAATGAAGTTAATTTATCACAGGATGAAGCAAATTGTAATATGATCCCATCAAATTATTCCCTGAAAACATCTAAATTATGTAAGTTACTATTTTGTTTTGTTTTACCAGTGTAGAGTTATAAATGAAGCATTACGTGCATACATGTTCACCTCATAGGTGAATTCATTGGTTTTATTTTGATAACTAGTGATACAGTATAATTCTCTTGACTAAATCAGCTAAATAGGTTCGAACATATAATCTGATACTCATGAGTTATTTGGTTAATTCATAGTTTGATCAGTGTTGTAGTTGTTGCATGTGATAAAAGGATGTTTGTTTGTGAAGAAAGCAGGTGGTCTTGTGTCATATCACAAGTATTCCGGCGTTTCCCTACACCATGGTAAAGTACTTCTCTGAGTACCTTGAAACGAGACTGGATTAGGATTGGTTATGATGAGTTGGGATTGTGATTGCAGTAATCTAGGGATAACGACTTATCTGTATTCATTCGTTGACCAATCACGGCTTGCTTTCACCTAACACACCTAATATCTGTTCTTTGGCATCTTTTTCAACTACGGTAACAATGAAAAAGTCACATATCTTCATAATTCTTCTTATTGTGATGAAACCAGGTTACACACAGAGAAACATATGTTAGTACTCATTTTTTGTGAATTTTTTTTTCTGGTTAGCGTTTTTTAGAGAGTTCGTTTTCTACGAGATGGGGTCGCTAACCCTCTGCCCAACTCTCCTCCTTTACCCGGACTTGTGACCGGCAGTAACTCTAGAAGAGCTAAGATCATGTGTAGTATTCATTTTTTGACAGGAGAAGGTATATAGACGAATTCAAGCATTTTAGACAATCAGAAAATTGTTGGGCTATGAAATAATTCCTAGTAAAATAGTTATAAAATTACAAACGATTAAAAACTTGGGCATCATTAATAAACACGTGTGAATTATTACTGATAGTAAATGAAAATATGTTGAAATTACGGGCGAATAAAAATATTTCCATTTACCACAATATACTACTGTTATACATTAATACAACCTGACACGAGATTATACTACCTCTATACTGAATACTCGGTCGATAAGCTAGCTATACATAGACTGGGATCACGTTATATCAGATAATTGATTTGTGACTGAATCTAGTGAACTAGAGTAATAGATCAAACAATAGATTTATTCGACACAAATACTAGTGCTTCATACACAGTGAATCCAGAGTAGCAAACAATGATAGAAGAGAATTCATGTGTTAAATATTTAGTAAGACGAATGTCAGTCTGTCTTTTTTCGCTGGCCAATCACATCTTACTATTCCATATGAGAAATGTTATAAGATTTTCATTGCCATGTGATATCGGCTATAATGTAACGATGCTTTATGTACATGGATGAATGAATTCCGTGCACATATCCACAGGGGAGTATTTTACCTCTGTTTTTTTACGTCCATAAAGTATAGCACCAAAAATTTTGTTAATCCGTTGTGAGTTTCAAGTGTATTTAGTTTCAACTGTTTCTTCCCTTAAAATTTCTCATCATCATTCTAATAATCGCATACAAGCTTTATAGATCTTTAGTCTTATCATGTTATGAAATTCCAGATTCTAAATAACAAAATATTGATAAACATTCCTCAGTTTCTATATAACTCTCAACAAGTTAAAAGCTAACCGTTATGGTGTCGTGAATTTCGCGCTAAATTTTTGATGACTGCCATCTTAAGTCTGATTGGTTCGTCCATATACTTTATTCCTACCACTATGATTATTATTATTATTATTTCTATGCGTGTAAATGCATGATATTTTAAATATTTGTAATATTTATTGTAAAATGGATGTTTATAAATTGTTGTTTCTTTTTCATGCTCTACGCATATGTTTGTGAACCCGTCAGCTAAAGACGATCATTGGATGTCTAAATTACCATGGATAGGTAAGTATGAAACTTCTGTTATTGTAATTCTTCCTTATGTTTTCTAGAAAAAAGATAAACCTCTCAAGATGTTTCATCACTACGTTGGGATTTGTTTCTGTTGTAGATATATTGAAACTAGGCTACTCTCTCATTAAGCCTAGCTTCGGTCGCATAATTATTACTTTAGATAACAATTTAATCTATATTCAGTTTTTTTCTTGAGATAGTGGGGATAATTTGTAGATCAGGTGAGTGATTTCGGCAGTAACAACCCATAGAACTTACAAAATCAACTGTAAACAAATTTTATTTAAAAGGACGAGAACACACTACAGCACATTTACAGCGCGGAATAATGAGGAAAAATATCTAATAACTATCTTTTAAAATAAGGGATATTCACTCATCTTCATCAGAAAATATCAATCCAACTCATCAGCAGAAATGAAATGAAAAATACAGAAATCAACAAACAGATCATCCTATTTTATGTTGAAAGCATATTGTCAATATTCTACTACCAGGCATTCTATTCCAGAGTTGTGTTACGTACTACTTTTATCTGTCAATATAAGTAGCGTTACACCACATTGGTAGCACATGAACCGGGGAAAACGCGTCAATCAATATTATGGAATCGTAAGGATGAAATGAAAAAAAAGAAAAAAAAAAACATCATCTACAAAATAAATGGTTCCATTTGTGAGAAACACTACATCGGACAAAATAGACCCCTCTTTCATCTACACTTGCATGAACATCAATTAGCGATCAAATGCCTTGACATATCTTTCCTTATATTAATACATGTGCACAATTGTGGACACTTATTCGATTGAAAAAATTATCGAAATCTTGAATAGAAGGACTACTAAGATTTGATAAGTTTTAGAGTCTTGGAAATCAAGTCAACCAACAATCAATAAACACATCAAAGTCGATAAAATCTATCAACCAATCAGAAAAAAAATCATGGACAAATGTAGGACAAGTAGGAGATTCAATAAAAATAAAAATACAAACAATTACAGATTAAATGTTACTTACTTACGCCTGTTACTCTTAATGAAGCATAGGCCGCCGACCAGCATTCTCCAACCCACTCTGTCCTGGGCCTTCTTTTCTATTTCCATCCAATTCTTGTTCATTTTTCTCATTTTTATCTCCATTTTCCGGCGTAATGTGTTCTTAGGTCCTCCTGGAGCACCTCCGGGAGCTACTGCCGGTCCCAAGCCCGGGTAAAGGACAAGGGATGGGCGACCCCATCCCGTAGAAAACTAACCCGCTAAAAAAACGCTAATCAGAAAAAATTATTCAAACATATTAAACGTCAACACTAACTAATCAAGTTCGAGGTCGACAAGATAAAATGTTAGTCACTTGTGAAGAAACTCGAATACCTCACTTCTACCATAAGTTTATTTGCCTATGATATTGTAATTCAGTAAAATAATGTAAGCTGCTTCATCATTATACTATCCAGATCAGCGAAACGAAACTCCATCAAAATTAGTCCTTTTGTTTAGGAAATTGAAATTAAATATTTTCACATGTAGATTGTTACATCCTTTTGCAAATCGATCTTGATAGCTTGTTGTATTAGTATGGTAGTAAATATGAACTAAATTCATGTCTAGTTGAAATGTGTCAATAATTCTGCTTGTAAAACTTGCTAGATGGATATATCAACAAATGGCATCAATTCTGGTGTTTATTTATTTGATTTGGACTGGAATCTAGGATTTGGTAAAAGAGTAGGTAAAAAAAATAAGTGAAAATTACAGAAAAAAAACCCGAAATATTAGTGATAGTAATAATAGTCTCGGAGGATTTGTGGAGACTGTAGAGTTTTCGTGGTTTAAATCAAGAACTGATCTTAGCTAGATCACCATGGGGAACCTGTAAACACTGAACCACCGTTTTGTTATATCATGGGACCCCTTAGTTCATGATTTAAAACTACGAAATTCTTACTTTCTCCACCGACCCCCCCTATTATACTAATAATAGTTATGTGCTGATTAGTGACTAGGTTGATGATGCAACTACCGGAGTTCTAGTGCAGTCCAATCGGTGTATAGTGTGAGACAGTTATCCATCTCAACCAGTGGATGAGAGTTGCGCAGCTTCGTAAATTGATTGAGGTTAGACTTGTACACTATTGCACGCTTATGTTATAAGACATAGGGCAGACATTTCAGCGTACGTCCCTATTGCATATACTTGCAGACAAAGCTACACAAACTGCGACTCATGAGATTCATATACAGATCTGGCAGCCCACAAGATTTAGTGAGCCTCGAAGTTGGAACTCGAGTAGTCCATATTACAACAGAATGTGGGATCAATTCAATCTCTGTCGATTGCTTAAAACTAGCTAGCAAGGTTTCCCCTACTACCTAGCAGCTCCACGAGCAGACCTTGGGTTGTATTTTGCTGACTTAGATAGACATAAAATGATAAAAGGTCTCTTTTTGTACTTGTACACTATAAAAGTATGATGATTTGAAATATTCTGTATTGTTTATATGTAGGATAGTAACAGTTATTAATTGGATATGATATGGTATAAAGTTTTTATAATCATCTTAAAAATATTTATTAGTTTACTGTTATTGCAATCAAGTCTCTTGTTAGTTTTTCTCGTAATTTATTGTGTAATTTTTCCAAGGATACCATTCATAATGTAGATTAAAATGTTTCTTTGGGAATGGAATCTTCAGTGTTATTTATAAGAAGTATTATTCTTCTCATTTTAGAATAAACTTAAATCCTATATGACACTAGACACTAGTTTTATCTTCACAGTTTGACTTTAACTACACATGCACACAAGTAATGTTTACGTGATGAGCAGTAGGTTTAACGTCCAATTATAATTCACTGATGATCTACCAAATGGTCGTGGCAACTTTGTTGTTCTACTACAGCATTAAGTTAGATGTCCAGGTTGCAAATAACATGGATAGTGTCTGATTTTGTCATAAGTAATATGAAATTAACAAATCAAAAGGTATATAGTTACAATTGGAAATATAAAGCTATGGATCACTGTTTAAATATGTTCGACTTTTAACTACTAAGTCATTAATCTGAACTTCATCTATTTTGATAACTGAGTGGAGTATCATCACGTCTAACACTTGAACTGGACATAGAGAGTCCACCTAAAGGAGGTGGAAATCCCTGATTCTAAACCAATGGTGTATATGAGCTCCAGGATCCTGAGTGAACAAATGTCATATGAACCAATCGTTGGTCACCGACTACCATGGGACTGCATTTCTTGATGTTGCTCCACTACCTTATGGATCAGACCTTCAAATCGAAGGCTCCGAAGTGTGCCCGCTAAGAAAACCATCTGCTTCGGTTTGGGCACCTAAACAGTATCCCAGCCTCCACACAAATCGAATGATTTATGTGGAGCATATCCGTTCGGTGCCTCTTTGTACCGATGTTTATGTGTTTAAATAAATAAATATAAATAAACACATGGAGTGTATGTAAAAATTAAGTACTTGAATATGTACCTGATTAGTGCGTTGGTATGAATCACAGTTATAAATAGGAATTCCTTGTTGCTTTTTTTCACCGAATGAATTTATTTCTGGTTATTTTTTATCTTTTGTTTCATTCAAGAACATGTTTTTCTTTTTACTCTTCTAACCAAACTAGTTCTTGCACCGGTACCTGCTATATTAATCTGTGCTCTAATACGTATCTGTTCACAGAAACGTCAATTAGACATGATTGAAGATAATAATAATAATAATCATTATAATTTTAATATAAATAATCTTAATGAATGTTCAACAGTAATATCCAGTTCCACAACAACAACTACAAATCATTGTGATAAATGTTTACATATGCAATACAAAAAATTACCTAGTAATTATTTTATAATTAAACGTAAATTACACAATTATCGAGGAAGTATACCGGGACTATTGAATCGAATAAATAAATTATCTAGTGTTACTGAAGTTGATGATGAAATTGATCCCAGTATAGATCAACAAGTGAATATATTGAAAATGAAACCATTGAATAACACTAGTACTACTACTACTAATAATAATAATGTTAAAACAAAATTGGCAAATAATTCAAATCATTGTGATAATTCATTACAACATTGTTATTCCTTACCTGAATTTACTATAAAACATGATGATAACGATGACGATGATGATACTGATGGTGATGATAAATTCAATAGTGATTTGATGTGTTATAGTGTTAACAATGTGATTATTTCCAATCGAAATTTTCATGCAATCAGTACTTGTTCAAGTCGTGAAGCAAGTTTCGATGATGATGATGATAATGATGACAAGCTTAATATCAATCAACATCTTATTACACATTATCAATCGATAGAAACATTTAATAAAAGTAAAAGTTGTGATAGTCTACATGAAATAAGTACAAAAAATGAAAGAATGAATTATTTATCGATTTCTCCTTGTTCTTCCACTTCATCATCAATAGATCGTAATAATGATGAGAATAAAAGGAATCATGTAGTAGGTTTTGTTTTTACTTTCTATTCATTGTATTTTATGTTTTAAGGGAGTTTTACAAAATTATTGCTGAAAAGATACTGATAAGATTTAAAATAGGTGAATGGTGACTAACTGTAAAATCTAGGGAACACGTTTTATCCTGTTTAAAACTAATCAGAGGAAAATAACTTTATCCCTAGTACTTTTACACTGAAAAATATCATATTCGTTTTTTCTTTACAACAGAAACAGTATGTGGTACGATGATTCTGTATTATTGCTCAGATTTCCCTGCTATGTCAGCTATTATCCTTTGATCTTATTTAACTAATATTGACTTAATTAGATACCTAGTATTTATTTGTTTAAACACAAACATTGTCAGAAGGGGTTTTGTGGAGATTTTAGTAATTTCAATAGTTGAAATCATGAGTCAATTGAAGCTAGACCACCATGGAAAACCTGACAGCACTGGACGGCCGTTTCATCCTAGTGTGGGACTACTCAGCTGTGCGCATCCACGATACCGCCCCCGCGAGATTCGAAGCCAGGACCTATCAATCTCGCGCCAGGCGCTTAACCAACTAGACCACTGATTCGGCATCCAACGGTGTTAATGTCTAACTTCAACCAATCCACCAAGTTGAGCCACCGTACACCATTGTCTTCAGTGAGTTGATATCTCACAACAGACCTGGTTGAACTCCACTGGTAACGGCTTCTCACTGGAACTACAGGAGTATCTCTTGAAGTCAGTCATTAGTGAGCAGATGACATCTATCTATCTTAAAATCTTGAGCTATATTTTTAACCAATAATGGCGTTTGTTTGCTCATCATTTGGCCTGTTTAATCCTCACAATGTATCAAATAAGTATTGAGTAACTTTGGTATTAGGTCTTTGTTAAATTTACATTTCCCTATTCTTCATTCGGTTAATGATTATTACTGCGATCTACATTTAATGTCTTACTCATGTGTGTCTCTGTGTGTGTACATGTGTGAGAAGGAGGTTTGTGCTTGTAGGACGATTACTACCTTCTTGTTTCTGTTTGCCCTCTTGAGATGTTTGCAGATATGACTCGGAATAGAAGTCAGTGGTGATCCTGCTGTCACTTTCTTCATCAAAGTAAAAGTAAATTCTTTTACAGAAAGAATCATTTCTGGTTGTATTTTCCTAACTCAACTGTTTGTATTATTAATATTATTATTATCTGACTTACTTAATTACGCCTGTTACTCCTAATGGAACATAGGCCACTAACTAGTATTTTCCAACCCACTCTTTCCTGGGCCTTCTTTTCTCGTTCCATCCAATTCTTGTTCATTTTCCTCATGTCTATCTCCATTTCCCGGCGTAATGTGTTCTTTGGTCTTCCTCTTTTCCTTTGGCCTTCAGGATTCTATGTGAGAGCTTGTTTTGTGACGCAGTTGGGTGCTTTCCTCAATGTGTGTCCTATCCACTTCCATCACTTCTTCCTAATTTCTTTCTCCGCTGGAATCTGGTTTATTCTTTCTGTTAGCGGGACATAGACTGGATTAAAGCATGCTCAATGCATGATTGCTTTGGTGCACGCTGATTGGCTAATTCTTATCCAATCAGCACTAGTCGATATTCGGAGAATACTCTGGAATCTTCTTATGTAAAAACTATAAATATACCGATGTTTTCCCTATTGTGCTTCTGACTTGCTTCTCGCTTCCATCTAACCTTGTTATTTGGAATATAATCTCTTCCTGTTCAACCGTGTTTTGATTTGGGGTCTTGTCGAGTGAATCGGTGTCCAAGAATACTAAGCAATAGGAATAGCTGGGTCATAACTGTAAGAAAACAGAGTTATAACAGTGGCGACGGGGAAAAACTAAAGAAAAATGGCGATTTCTTTAGAACAGTTGCGGTTAATATTACAGCACCAGCAGAAGTTGTTAGCCTTGCAACAATAACTATTGAGCACACTTTTCACTCGACCAGAAAATAAGAAATCTGTTTATGATGCAGTAACAGACATTTCAGAAGCATATCTAGTGGAGGGTTCAAATCCCTTTATACCTGAATCAGAACGTAATATTTGTAACGTGTCCGGCTCACAGCAAGAAAATACTGTGCTGAATGCTCATAAAGTTGTGGCAATACGAGATGATCAAGAGCCAGACCCTGTAGATGAAGCCCGGAGTCCAGAATTGAATGAAACACTATTAGTCCTGTCTAGCTCTGAAAATAAACTTCAGCTAGAACAAAATTATGGTCCACGTGATATTAGCCGAAAAAGCTATGGAGACTCGTATTCAGAAAATAACTGCAGTGACACGATGAACCCAAATATACTGAATGTTACTCAAAATCATTGTGAGATAGAAATTTATATTGAATCAGCTTATCCGATTTCTAATGACAATGTATCAGATATGGGTTCTCAGAATAATGGATGTAATTTTGATGAAATTTCTTATAAAAATGAGGAAACTATGTCGGCTGAGTCAAATTATGATCAAAAGTCTAATTTAATTTTGTTAAATGTTGATTTCCGTAATGATCCATTATCCACTGATGAAATTCCTAATGGATTTGAAAGTATTGCTTCAGAAGAATTAAACCCTGACCTCAAATCAAAGGTCGTTCATTATCATCTAGTCATTTCTAGTGGATCCGACATTCAATGCAAGAAACATCGTTTAAATAAAGTCCTATTATTTGGCTAATTCTTATCCAATCAGCACTAGTCGATATTCGGAGAATACTCTGGAATCTTCTTATGTAAAAACTATAAATATACCGATGTTTTCCCTATTGTGCTTCTGACTTGCTTCTCGCTTCCATCTAACCTTGTTATTTGGAATATAATCTCTTCCTGTTCAACCGTGTTTTGATTTGGGGTCTTGTCGAGTGAATCGGTGTCCAAGAATACTAAGCAATAGGAATAGCTGGGTCATAACTGTAAGAAAACAGAGTTATAACAGTGGCGACGGGGAAAAACTAAAGAAAAATGGCGATTTCTTTAGAACAGTTGCGGTTAATATTACAGCACCAGCAGAAGTTGTTAGCCTTGCAACAATAACTATTGAGCACACTTTTCACTCGACCAGAAAATAAGAAATCTGTTTATGATGCAGTAACAGACATTTCAGAAGCATATCTAGTGGAGGGTTCAAATCCCTTTATACCTGAATCAGAACGTAATATTTGTAACGTGTCCGGCTCACAGCAAGAAAATACTGTGCTGAATGCTCATAAAGTTGTGGCAATACGAGATGATCAAGAGCCAGACCCTGTAGATGAAGCCCGGAGTCCAGAATTGAATGAAACACTATTAGTCCTGTCTAGCTCTGAAAATAAACTTCAGCTAGAACAAAATTATGGTCCACGTGATATTAGCCGAAAAAGCTATGGAGACTCGTATTCAGAAAATAACTGCAGTGACACGATGAACCCAAATATACTGAATGTTACTCAAAATCATTGTGAGATAGAAATTTATATTGAATCAGCTTATCCGATTTCTAATGACAATGTATCAGATATGGGTTCTCAGAATAATGCATGTAATTTTGATGAAATTTCTTATAAAAATGAGGAAACTATGTCGGCTGAGTCAAATTATGATCAAAAGTCTAATTTAATTTTGTTAAATGTTGATTTCCGTAATGATCCATTATCCACTGATGAAATTCCTAATGGATTTGAAAGTATTGCTTCAGAAGAATTAAACCCTGACCTCAAATCAAAGGTCGTTCATTATCATCTAGTCATTTCTAGTGGATCCGACATTCAATGCAAGAAACATCGTTTAAATAAAGTCCTATTATTTGGCTAATTCTTATCCAATCAGCACTAGTCGATATTCGGAGAATACTCTGGAATCTTCTTATGTAAAAACTATAAATATACCGATGTTTTCCCTATTGTGCTTCTGACTTGCTTCTCGCTTCCATCTAACCTTGTTATTTGGAATATAATCTCTTCCTGTTCAACCGTGTTTTGATTTGGGGTCTTGTCGAGTGAATCGGTGTCCAAGAATATTAAGCAATAGGAATAGCTGGGTCATAACTGTAAGAGCGAGAGATTTATAACACTTTCACACACTAGGTTGTTGCTAATAGTGTCCAGCCAACGGATCTGAAATATTTTACGTAGACAACTGTTAATAAACACCTGTATTTTCTGGATGATGACTTTCGTAATTCTCCAGGTTTCCACCCCATACAGTAGAACTGCCTTGACATTTATATTGAAAACCCTGACCTTGGTGTTGGTTGACAGACAGTTGTTTTGAGTTCCAGATATTCTTCAGTTGTAGATATGCTGCTCTTGCTTTGTTGATCCGCGCCTTCATATCTGCATCAGATCCACCGTCTTATTTCACTCTCATACAATAATTTTAGTTCGTTGTTACTCTTCTTCTGTATATATTCACTTTTCTTTTAACTATCTCTTCACAACCTCATTGTATTTGATGTCGGTCCCTCCATGTACGAATGTTTATGTGTTCAAAATAAATAAATAAATAATCTAAATTAGTGATAGTATAAAGAATACCTTTTCATCTTCTTAATAGGATATAGTTAGGTTAGTTGAATAATATCATTATTATTATTTTTTCTTTCTATATCCTATTTTCTTTTTTAATGAGAAGATTTTATCTGATTCCCCCAGTGACAACAATAGTCAATTCATCATACAAAAATTTCCTAAAACAATCATAATATCCAATCAATATTCTAATAATAATGAATCATTATCACATTTCAAATTGAATATGAGCGCTCAATATAATAATCAATATCATGATGATGATGGTGGTGGTGGTGGTGCTGTAATAGAATATGATTATTATAATCAATATCAAGCAAGAAATCATTCATTATCTGATTCAACAATATGTAATTCTCAACAGAAATTCAATGATTCACCATTGAATTATACTTCATCTTTGAATACATTTGATGAAATACCAAGAAAACTTTCAACATTGACAAAATGTATAAAGCATATTCATCAATTCATGAATTCTTCATATACACTTGGTAATTATTTAAAAAATAAATATGTATATAATAGTCAAACAAAATTATTAATGATGGAATCGAAGTATAATATATATCATAATAGAAGTGAGTGAATAAGATAAAATTATATTGTAAATAATATATTAAATTAATTAATGATTCAAGATTTGAGAGAAACTTACATACTTACTTACTTACGCCTGTTACTCCTCGTGAAGGAGCATAGGCTGCTCATCAACATTCGCCATCCAACCCTGTCCTGGACAATCCTTTCCAACTCCTTCCAGTTGTTATTCATCCTTTTCATATTTGCTTCTATTTCTCGACGTGATGTGTTCTCTGACCTTTCTCTTTTACGCTTCCCTTCAGGATTCAAAGTTAGGGCTTGCCTCGTGATGCAGTTTGACGATTTGCGTAATGTGTGTCCTATCCATTTCCATCGTCTTTTCCTAATTTCTTCTTCAGTTGGAATCTGATTTGTTCTCTCCAACAGTAGGCTGTTGCTGATGGTATCCGGTCAATGGATGTTGAGTATCTTGCGTAGACAATTATTTATAAATACTTGTACCTTCTTATTTATGGTTGTATTAGTTCTCCAAGTTTCAGCTCCGTACAGTAGAACTGCCTTGACATTCGTATTGAAGATTCCGCCTGTAGCTCTTTTAGAGTTACTGCCGGTCACAAGCCCGGGTAAAGGAGGAGGGTTGGGCATAGGGTTAGCGTCCCCATCCCGTAGAAAACTAACTCGCTAAAAAAACGCTTACCAGAAAAAATAATTTGAAACAAAGTATGGAATATTTTAGTTTGGGCCCCTTTATTTTGTGGTCATTTGAGATCGCATGATGTTGTCGATGGGTTCACCAATTTAGTGGCCCGGGATCTGACTCCAAGTAGATGGTATGAATGATTGTTAGTCGCAGCCCAGGTCCAGGGTTTCCTGTCGACTACCTCCAACCTTGTATCACACAGATTCACAGTAAATATATACGTGAATTTTGTCATACTACTGTAATTTTTGCATAAACAATCGGACACAGTTGAACGAGTTTAAAATTTTTTTGTGTTATACGAAAAGCCCATCTTAATGGAATCCGGTAAACATCTATGATTTATAGAGGACACCTGAGATAGGGATGAATATCTATCGACTGATATGACTTGAACACTATTACATATGCTTGTCCACCTACTATCTCGGCGTGCCGATGATGGCTAGTATAAGAGCAGGTTGAAAGGAAGCCGAGAGTGGACAAATAAAAGACACGGTATCAGTCCACAAGAACACTGACCGTTAGACTGAGCCATGTAAGTTAGTACAGATTACGTGGTTGAGGTTCATATGATTATCGTAAGCAATGGTTAGAGACTTTGAATAATATGACTCAAAATCGTTCACAGTGGCTCCTTTAGATCCTAAATTTCTAAATATTCCTCATATTTTTGTTTTACTTCACTGATTTATATTTTCTCGAATTATGTCTTTGATAACTAGTGTTTCCTGTCACTATTAATACTGTTATTATCTCTACTACTCTGTGATTGGTTTTAACAATTTCGTCTCTCTATGCTTTGGCAACTTGAACTGATGTCCACATATTTCAGGTTCCATGTTGCGTTTGTCTGACTTATGGCGAGCTATAAAACAAATGTACTGATCGATTATAAAAAAATAATTGTTAGCAGTGTTACAAACACTTTCGAGGAGAATTTATTTATTTAAACAAATAAACATTGGTACAAGAGGGCACCAAATAGATATGCACCACATAAATCATTCGATTTGTGTAAGGGTTAGGATACTGTCCGGGTGCCCAAACTGAAACAGGTGGGTCTCTTAGGTGACCAAACCCGGAGCCTTCGACCTGAAGGCTTGATCCACAAAACAGTGGAGCAACGTTAGGAGATACAGTCCCATGTTAGCCGGTGACCAACAATAGGTTCATGTGTCATTTATTTCCTCAGGATCCTGGAGCCCATATGCACCAGTGGTTTAGAATCAGGGTCATCCAACTCCCCTAGGTGGACTCTCTATGCCCACCAACCCGGTTAAAGCGCCGGACATTCGCTTTTCGTTCTCTCAATTTCATAAACAACACCCTCGCCACGAGAAGGCAGTGAGTAGAAGTTCCCTGGCAGGGGCTATATACGCGTGGCCATGCGAGAGCATTTCAAGAGGGAGAGCTCATAGGTTTTGAATGATTGTCTAACTTAAATCGATTTGTGATTTCAATAAACAGATACTGTTTTAGTTATTATTATTACTAATCCAGTTTATTTACATTTTTATTCACAGATGATTGATTTCCTATAGCTAATATTCAACTCCCATCTTTTATGTCGATAAATGAAAAAATACACTTCGAAACCAAACTTATCTGCATTTTTGTACTTATTTTCGTGATGTTTTGAGAATCCTACTTTTTCTCATTAACAACTACTGCTGATGGGTATAATTATTTCATTGTTTTACCCTTTTTTTCGATTATACTCTTCAATCTCACAGTATTTTTACTTTATAAAACTGATTATTTAACAAATTTTGTTTGTTTTTTTCTTCCAATCTTTATTTCAAACATTTCTAGACTCTGTTTTATATTAGACCTTATGATCAAATTAAATATAAAATTGCATTTAGTTCTATTCTCATCATCTACACAATTCTTCTCAATGTATTTTTTTCAAGTTTCTATTGTTGTTGTCGTTGTTTTTGTTTCTTTTCTTTTTCTGTATTTTTGTTTACATGTTTATCCTGAATCATTCATATTTTACTGATTTTCTACTTTTATACATAGAGATACATACATAATATATATGCACATACAGACACACACACACACATACAACATGGTTCTTTTCTCTAATTTTGTTATTGTATTATATGATTGATTTCACTGATATCGTTAAGTGTATATTCTCTTGTTACTAGTTAATAAATATGTTCTGTTGTTGTTTTTTTTGCTTTGAAATGTTCCACACACAAAAAATATTTTGCATGATTAACATTCAGTATTATTTTGTCTATGAAATTGGTTTTAGAAACAAACAAAACAATGTGTGTATCTTATATTTTATTTACTCCCCTATATACATACAAATTCTAATCGATGTTTGTTGTTGTTGAGGTATTGACGAAGAAGGAATCAAAATGCTTACTATATAACTATAGTGATTTATTGTTGAGATTGTATTTAGTTGTGAATTCTTGTTAACGTTCGATTTTCATGGGAAAAATGTTACATACTAATGTATTATTTAGTCTTAGATAGTAGGTGAACATTCGTAAGGTCAATGTAATGTCACTCAAAGGTTGCACATAAATTATAGTTCTCATTGATGATGGTTCTTGATAAGAGAACATTTTTATCTGTAGAACGACGACGTCAGTATATATATCAAAACGATCGAAATGATGAAGGTCAGTTTTCAGTTTTACTTAACACTGTTAACAACTTACGGGTTAGGGATAGATTTTTCGGTGAGACTATAAATTATGGACGACCTTTCAGCGACGCTAAGGTGACATTGAGAGTGTTCACCTAATAACTAGGGTCAAATGAGGATTATAAACCGATGCGAGGAATTCGAATTACGATTTACAGTTGATGGTTAAGGTTATGAATTCGATTTAGGGTTTTCACCACGAACTATTGATATCATCTATAATACCAAAATCAGAGACCTGTTATCTTAAATCTGATTGGTTCGTCCATAAATTATCATATCGCCGGTTTTTCATTTGTGTTCTCGTAGTTGAGCAGCAATTTGTTGATCATTAGAATGATTTATTGCTTATTATTAAACCAGCTCTCGGTTAAGTCGCTTGACAGGAGAGGATATGCATTGTTTGTCAGTTTAAGTTATCGTACACAATGTACGAGATACATATATTCAATTCTAGGACGCAAGTACTATCGACGGAATTATAAATTGTGAAACAAAAAGTGTCACAAGACATTTATTGAATGTGTTGCATCTTTAAGCTCGGCTAATTATCAAGTGATTTATTCGCCAATCGAAATACGACTTATTCAATCTTAGTACTGTGTCAAACCAAGGACGTTCGACTGGTATGAGCAGCCTAGCGTCCCTATTTGTCCTTTGTGTTCTTAGCCCTTCCAGTCGAGTCCAGAACGCCAATAACAACTTCCACTGTGTGAATCATTTATTTCAGACAGTGAATTATCAACCGGACCAATGACTCATGGGACAAATACGAACAGTCTAGAGTCCTTATCGGTCCTGCTTACTGCCTAGCCCTGCCTGTTAGGTCCAGGACACTAATCTGAACCTCCGCCATATCAATCATTGTTATGACTTTATGTTGCCAATTGTTGTAACGGGTGAGACTGCAGGTTTTGATACGCAGCGTTTATATCGATTCGGTGACAGGTAAACACGAACGAACGGCCTACAGTTCTGATTGGTCCTGCTTCCCTGTCCAGCCCAGCCAGTTGAGTCCAGAACACAAGCCACAGCCTCGGAGATATGAATCATTATATTTCAAACATACTTTTTTTATATACCAATCAAGCATACCACATCGTACCATAAAATAGAAAACAACATTTTGTACAATACTCAACAAGTGAACAGATACCGACCAATGGAAAATGTCCATTTAAAGTCCAAGGACACCATTGGACTTAACATGATAATTGTTGGTCTATTCCTCTGCATCCACAACAATCATATATTTCAAACATACTTGGTTTATATAGTAGCCAAACAGACCGCATTATACCATAAAATAGGAAGTAACATTTATACAAGATTAAGCCAAAAAGTGGCTGTGAACGTGGGAGACGGTAATTAATAAACTGAGGACAACTTAGGAATAGTAAGTTGTATCATCATAGTATATACGTGAAAATAAAGCTTATAATAAGAATACAGATATACAATAGGAATATATATATGTATAATATTAGTCCATCAATAGTTCTCAGAAGTTACCCGTAATTTTATCTTCACTAGGATATAACAATGCATTTTAGAAGTCACTACAGATTTCTAGCAAGATGAACATGTGAGATTTTCGAAAGTTCTGTAACACTTTACGGTGGAACATCAGATTTTATGGTGACATCGGCATGGCAAACAAGCGAAATCCAAAAAGTAACAAGTTGTTACATTGTTTAGAGTAATCCTTCAACTCAATTACCTTCCCTTTCTATACATATTTCCGGAATTTCTTTTATATAGTTCCCAGATCATTCTTTTATTATATAGATCCTTCAACTACTTTGAACAAAGATGAAAAAATCTCTAATTAAAAGTAGAAAAGAGGTCAAACATATGTTGATTGTTATTAGCATCAATGCATTTTTAATGAAAATAGTCTGCTTTAAATCTCAACCGATTATAAACCATAGACAAACTCGCAGTCAGTCAACCATCATTAACAAAGAATCTGACACAGATATCCATTGACCAATGTTGTCAAACCACAATTAACACGACGAGAAGAAATTAGCAATGTGTATAAAGCATAGACATCAAAATAATATAGTATCAATGACAATATCAACGACTGAGTATTCGGAATAGCGAACGAAGTGACAGTGAGTAAAGGAATAAGTTGATTCAAGATTGAGAAGGTAAAGGGTGAATCGATCCACGCTACTGTGAATGATTCTGAGCCATTTCACCTAAAGCTTCTAACTACTGACTGGAGTTATCGCTTGGACCCCTGTTATATCCTAACGAAGAATAGATGAATAGTAATTGTTAAGAATTATTTATGGACTATTATAACCTATATTCCTATTGCATAATTAATAAGTAACTATATTTAAATGTATATTCAAATTATTATAAGCTTACATTTAACCTTTCGACCAGTCATATGATTTATTATCAGTTACAATCTCTCACAATAACAGCCACTTTTGGTTTGATTGTGTATAAGTGTTATTGTTTTATCTTATGGTATGTGGTCTGGTTTCCTTGTATATAAACCAAGTATGTCTGAAATATACGATCTATACAGTAAAAGCTAATATTTGCTTTCTGGACTTGACAGGTAGGGCTCGACGAGAATAACCAATAAGGACTCTACACTGCTCCTGCAGATCAACGCTATTGATTTGACACAATGTTCTAATTAGCAATTTAGTCACGTGATAATTAGCAAGGAAGAAGCCATAATAATCCCAACTATTTAGTCTGTATCTACCTAAAAGACCAAGATCAACAGTCAATGACTTCATAGTCGGATATCATGTTTTGGTTTGGAAGCTCCAGAAGAACACATCGGTTACATAGAGCCAACATATACACCCAATTCTCCATATTATTTCAGCGCTCAGTGTGATCATTAAAGCATAAACACTAAGGTTCTTGTTAGCGTTACTCGGGTTCAACCAAATGATGGGTAAATATTGAACGTCCAAAATGACTAGATCGAAATATGATGAATATTTTCTTACGATTACTTACAATAACCCAATTAAGATAATACTTTAATAATTATAATATGGTCTCAACTATTGTTTGCATATGTCAATTATTGAAAAGATCATGTTAACATTGAATAGTGTTTACCAGTTTGTGGCTCACAACTGGACATGACAAACTAAACAGTTTTCAATTATTAATCAGAAATGTCAACTGTTTCAACACTGAATTCTTCCTCATTATTATTATTGCCATCAAGTAATATAACAATTCAGTCTCATTAAAAGAGAATTACTATTTGCACTGTTGTTATTCTGTTTTATTGTTTGTTTGTTGCATTTCACAATAATGAAATATCTAAATGCATAAGAATAAATTAATATAGAAAAAAAAAGAATGGTTGTTACCTTTTTTGTTGTCAAGAGTTAAGTTAATCATTAAATGATCTATCTCCCTCCCCCTCTCTCTCTCTCTCTCTCACATATATATATATATATATATAATGAATGAAAGAAAAATGATAATTGCACTATGGAAAATTGAATAAGAATAATAAATAATAGAGTGAAGAAATATTGATATTAGGATAAAGAATGATGAAATAGCCCATTGTCCATGAGATAATGTATGACAATCATAGAAAGAAATAGAATAGACAATTTGAAGAGAGAATAAGACACAACAAAAACGAAAGTCAAAATGAATTTTACAATGGAATTTTTATACATTATCAAAAGTTTCATTTTCGGATGAATTCAATGATGATAATATTGTTTCAACATCACGAGGTACTACTACTAACTAACTAACTAATTGTGCGTTATTACTAAATATGAAGAAAATAGTAGTATATTGTTGTCATGTTGAAAATAGTACAAATTGTTGTCCGATGGAAATATACACATCTATACAAATTAAGATACACACACACATACATACATACATACATACACAACAGAAGAGAGGAAAATAGACAACTTCTCATTAGTTGACCAATTATTACATGTTGAACAAATAGACAACAACAACAACCAAAAAAAAAAAGAAAAATTATCACTGTCAATAGTGTAATTAAACAGATCTACTTTAACGTTGTTTTTGTGATGACAGAAATTGAAACGAGATCAGTCAAGGAGACAAAAAAGAACAGACAAACAAATTGTTGAGAAGGTAAAACAAAAAAAAAGTGATTATGTAATGACAGGGAAAAAAGATTCACTGGATAGAGAGACAATATGCAGAATAGATAATAGCAATATGTTGTATACAATTGAAATGATGAAAGGGAGAAAAAAAAGATGAAATAGTGTAGGAAGATTATGTAACAAAATACATCAATTATTTATTACAAATGTAAAACTGAGGTGGATATACATAAGAGAATAAATGTTAGTAAATGATATTCTATTTGAGAAAAGTACATTATGATGTGACCGTTGTTTGAAATGGATAGCATAGTAAAGTATATAACATTGCCAGATAAACATTCTTTCATTTATTCATATACATACACAATGTATAAATAAGATGATAGTAATTCAGTAGTATCCTAGATAAAATGAAATAAAATGAAAAGCTTTAGAACAAACCACCAAATGTAGATGTAGTTATATGCACAATCAATGGTAATTATACTAAAAAGATTAAAAAATTGAATTGGTGTGTGTGTGTGATGGTATACTCTCCAGGTGCCCAAACCAGAGCAGTTT